GCTAAATTTATATATAATAAGTGTATGCATTACAGAGCTAGGCACATGAGACGGTCCCCCGCTTGAGTGCTCGGGCGAGGGAGACATGATGCCCTCGGATACATCATGGTGAGCATCCCGAGGTGACGGATGCCCATCCGACAAACAATAATGAGCCCTCTTCAATGACCATCAAGTGAGTATTACACATTGTAGATTTATATTGTATGACGTTTAAGAATTTCATCACATGATCATTGGCAAGTTGAAATGTCAATATGTCAGCTTGAGGTCCCAATCGAGTTGACGACGTCAATGGAGGAGGAGGGTCGTGCTCTTGTGCGTGAATTAGCCATTCCGCATACTCCACGAGACCAAATGTCCTATTCTATCCTGAACCGAGATCGAGTATGAGAATTGAATATAATTTATTGGTTATCATTTTGTATGAGTTAGCCTATTTTAACTAAGATAATAATTTTTAATGCTATCCGTATAGGAGCGCGGTCCAGTGGATCGACGATTGCCTCCACTACCAATGAGATCTCCTTCTCCTCCATCCAGGCACCTCCCATGTGGATCTCCTGTACACAATGATCTGTATTACCTTCTGGCTGGATTTATCGCGGAGATGAGGGAGGAGGTTTACGCATTACGATGGGAGGGTGGGGTGCTATAAGGGAAGATGAAGGAGGATGTGAGAACGCTACGAGAAAATGTAGGGGTGCTACGACGAGCGATGAGTGGCGAGATATCGAGTTTATGTCAAGTTAGTACAGTTCTCCACAACCATGTATCAGACCTTGAGGTGGACGTCGTAGCTCTCCGAGACGATATAGCAGGACTACGAAGGGATGATAGACGGGACGATAGAGAGGGTGATAGATTAGGTGACGGAGATGGTGGTAGACAGTGCGACTCTCTATTGTGGCTAGATACTGCATTTTGGGAGACGATGGAGGCGGCGTCGATGATGGAGGTGGAGGTGGTCGAGGTGGAGTTGGTGATCGAGGTCGAGGCCGAGGGGCTGGGCGGAAGGGGTGCCCCTAATAACGGAGGAGGTGGTACCCCCGATGACGGAAGAGGAGAGGATACCGGTCGTGGGAAAGGGCAAGAGGTGTGCTGTTGACGTGTTAGAGCAGGTGGTCGACAAGAGGACGAGACTGTTGTCACAGTACGTCGTATCTTCCTTCAAGGCTGAGGTGAAGAGGAAGACGTTCATCGATGGGACGTATCCAATCTCTTCTGGGAGGTAGACCATGCCAAATGGAAAGCTTTCGAGATGGGGTGGAGAAGAATTATGCATGGGTAAGTATTTTATAATTTTCAGTTAAGTACGCTATGCTAATTCATGTATATTTCTATTAACATTTTTTCTTTTTTTTCCAGAGATAGCCACAACGTAGGGAGGAGGACGATCTCGGAGGTGTATAAGTGGTTTCACGACATCACCACTTCGGGGACTTGGCTCGTCGACGATGTATGTGAAATAGTTATATTGTTATTTATTATGTATACATGATTTTTTTGTTTATGAAATGAAANTAACTCCCTCTATTTTTTTATTGGTGTTTCCTGATGTAGTACATCGACTTGGCCATAGACTTATTGCGTGATCAAGCTTGAAGATATCCAAGATCATTCGATATTCTTGGTCGACTCATATTGAGCACTGAGTTCGTATGTGCCATTACCATTGAGCATCAGTCATTTCAACTTATGGGTAATGATTATGTGCTGCCCGAATATATGGTCGAATGGGCCGTAGGGATGTGGTCGAGTGTCTGGGAAAAGCTATGGGAGGGTTGTACGCATATATAAATTCGAGTGATCGTGAATCATCATTGCATTGTCATGGAGATTGTCTTCACTGACTCCACTATATAGGTGTACGACTCAGACCATTCCCGTCTGACACAATGCCAACTCAAGCATAACTTGGAACCGCTTTCAGTGATCGTTTCCTTGATGGCTACCCGAGCGGTGTGATTGTGAATAGCAGGCTAGCCATCATGTGGGACACGACGAGGTGAGACAGTTGAGATTGTAAGTATTTATATTTTTTTAAACTTGGAAACTTAGTTTTTTAGCTACAGGTACCGAACTAACACATTATTCAATTGTATAGGCGATTGCGGCATGTTTGCAATAAAATACATTGAAATTTTGAGTATAGTACATAAGGTTGATAGAATCAACCAATCATGAATACAAATTTAAAGGAATAAATTAGCTTACGATTTGTACAAATTCGAGTGTAATCCGTAAACATTGTACATTTAATTGTTGATTC